CTTTAAACTTCATTATTGACTTTTTTATGGATGTAGGAATAGTACTTCCATGATTTATATTGGAAATATATGAGATTTTAACCTTAAAGGTATTGATAAGCTCATAAAGATCTATAATAGTTGCAAATCTATTTTTACTTCTACTATGAATATTATCCATAATTTTTTCTTCTATAGACATCTTAAACAAATTCAAAAGTCAAATTAAAGGAGGATAATCAGCAACCTCTAATATCAAATGGAAATTTTTCCAAAAAGAGAAAATTATCTCTTTTTAAGAAAAAATAATAATATTAAAAAAATTAAATATAAGTTTAAAAGTAGATAATCTGCAACCTTCAAAATACAACAATAGAAATGAAGTAAGTCACTCATCTCTAAAATAAAATAAGAATGGTGAATTATCACTCTTGTTAAACTATCAAGGATATGAATCTCAAAAAAAAAAAAATCAATATTTTCTTGTCATACTTGAAAAGAGTAAAAAATCACTTAAAGAAAGTATAGTATTAAATTGGAATGGCTATTGCCAAAGACAAGAAGACTAGAAAGTCTTGAAATAAGACTAAAAAGTATAAAGGAATTGATAAAAGTGAAGAAGGCTTCACTCTTACCTCCATATGTATTACTTAGTAAAGAGCTACATGGCGACATTTTGTAGAACCTCCAACATGTGTCTAATTCATAAGATACATGTCTTTACTTGTAAGATAAATTTCCTATATGTACACCACATCATTAGCTTGTACTACAAGCTATCCACATATTTAATACATGGCTAATTTATTGGTTAAGTTTCTAACCTACCCATCAACTGCAAACATGTATAAAAGTCAAATATGCATCTATAAAGCATCTAAGAAGCTTTGCCACAAGATAATATTAAATTTATCTACATTTATCTTCTATCTTATACTTTGTATCTAAGTAAATATATATATTTGTGACACATGTTGTGCAAGAAAAGATAAAAATCATAATAAAATAGAACTTGAAAATAATATTTTAATTAATTTGATTTGTGATTCTAAAGCTGAATAGTTTTGACACTGAAGTAAATTCACTAATTTTACTTAATTAATGAGTCCTTGAAACTTTAATCTTGTATCATCAAACTTCTCAAGTAAAGCAACTCTTATTTTTTTTAATTCTTAAATAATGTTTCAATATAAAAAAATATATATTATTATTTATTGTAGATGTTAGAACAGCTCCAGCTCTTGTTTGTGTATCATATGACCACTTTGTCTTTTTTTTAAAATAAATATATTTCAACTACAACAAAAAAACCTCATATACTTTAAAAGAATGTAAATAAACAAAAGTCTAATTTACTATTTAGATTCTTTTTCAATAAAAGATATGTCTTTTAATCATTTGATATGAGCATTGTCACTGATGATTTTGTTGTCTTGATTTATTTCAAACATTTTAACAAATTGGTTAATATATTTCTAAATTTTTTTGGTAAAATAAATATTTGTCCAAATCATTGAAGAATCTACAATCTTATTTCATATGAGTGTAGTATCTGAATTAGAAACAAGTAGACACATTGACGAATTAGAAAAATAAGTGTTGCCAAACAATCTGAGCAATGCATAGTACTTTGAAATCAGCATCATTGACCCAATACTGATGAGCTGAAAGTCCTGCCCCAGCTTTTGCTTGGGGATCAATGAACCCATCAGACAATGTCATCTGTCCAAGGTCAGTCCACCTCATCAAAACTTACCACCCTCCCAACTGCCACGAAGACCTGAAACAAGTGCTTTACGGTCATAAAAGTGGATGTAGACTTTTCGAAAGTTAGATAAAAAAGAAAAAACGAAAAAATAAACCATTACTAGAAGCTTGTGGAGACAATGAGTATTTTTGTCAATCTTACTTTACACCTGATGGTGATTAAGAGAACCTGGTATGAAATATGATCTTAATTAACATTTCACATTAGTTTTAGCATTCATTCAGGGAGCATAGCTGAGAGCACGATGGTGAAAAGATTTTTTCATCGACAAATAGGATGAATAGTGTCCAAACATCTGAATATCATCCGACGAAGTATGATCACCCTTTCAAAGGAACAAGAAGAGAACAAGGGAAAGCGCCTGCAGGGGCACTTTCACCCTAATCCCAATTGTCATATCACGCAGCCAGCTAAGCTACTCTAAACATATGACAACATACCATCCTAAGTTTTGCACGAAGCAAAAGGAAAAAACTATATTGTTAAGTCTATTTTGGATGAAGTTAAAGGGGAGTATTACATCCAAATACCATTATTGGGAGGTTGGACATATAAATGCGTGTCTCTTGATTTGAAATTTGACTAGTCAAGATGAGAAAATCGGTTCAAGGTCAAAGCAATTCAATTCTTGAACCTGAATTTGATACATCACATGCTAAAAGTTGGATTACACTGTACAATTGTATGAATAATGAATGTGAATAAATAGTGATAAAGAAGTAGCATGGATAACTCTTGTTCAAGGCATTCTAGACATTTCTGCACAATGATTTTAATTACAAAATATAAAGTATCTTTACAATAAAAATGCATTTTTGTCATTGTTTGGTATCTTTATGACCCAATGTTATTTCTCATGAGGATGTATGAAAAACTATGATTAATGTTTACCATTTAAATGATATGGTAATTAAATCGCTGTATTGACTGATGACATTTACATTGATTAAATACTAATTTAAAATAGTAATTATATTGACATTGCAAATATACTATTTGTTTCTTCAATTACTTGTTTTGCATTGTTGATTTTGTGCTTTTGACTTAAAAATTAATTTTGCAACTTACATCCAAATTTTTATTACATATAAACTAAATATGTTTTGAATTGAAGTCTCAACACATATAAAAAAAATATTGATCAATTTGCACAAATATAAATGTACATATACACGTATGTGGATTAATATATTACATTTGCATCCAACTAAATTTTTAATATCGAAATGAATGAAACCAATCTTCTTTGGATTTTTTTTTTAAAAAATCAATCTTATCTTAAATCAAATTGATATTAATGTGAATTATATATATGTATATATAAACAAATGAGTGTATATTCTTTAGTATGAAAAAAAGAATGATAATACTTAAAATTCTTGTTTATGTGTATAGATTATTTAGAATTTACTAAAAAAAAATATACAACATTAACCGCTTATATGGGTATATATATATATATATATATATATATATATATATTAAAATAACATACATATTTACTAAATTGACCCACTTTACCTCAAGAAACAAAAAAAGAATAAGGTAGATTGGAATGAGAGTTGGAAACATAGAGAGGGAAACATGGAGAAGGAGGGGGCAAATGAAGAAGGTTAGGAATAAAGGGAGCAGGGGTTGGGAACATAGGAGGTGAGAATGAGGGCCATGATTGTAATGATGGTTTTTGGAAATGGTCCATTTTTTCAATCATGGTTACAATAGGATCAATTTAGTAAATGAGTGGGTCATTTTAACAATTATGTATATATATATATATATTTCAACAATTTTTGAATTATGAATGATTTCTTTTAAAGAGTTTAGATCTGTTTTTTTTTTATGTTTCTATACAAATTAAAGTTCTGAAATGTCATTATGCATTGTAATTGATCATGTGGAAGTTTGGTTGCTTATTGCATAAAGCATTAACAATAACAACAACAATTTAGTTTTGAGTAAAAAATAATGGTTGTTGATGAGTATCTCATACCAACTGCAACATACAAAGGAGGTATATTGTTAAGCTACAAATATTTATTGAAGGCTGGTATTTACTATAACAGAATTGTTCAGGAAACAATAAAAATCACTACAACTCACACACATTCATATTCAACAGACTCAAAAGTTGGATTAATATCTTTGAACTCCGTGTTAAAGTAATAAGTAGAGCTTAACATGGAATGGTGAAAAAGATGCCACTCAGTCTCAAGTAATTTAGTTGAAAGTCACCCAATATATCAGAAATATGTATATACTCATTTACGCCACGAGACACAACTATCGATGGAGCTATAACAGTGAAGATAGTGTACCACAAACATATTTATACACATTTATAGGATTCCATCAGTATTTGATTTAATATGGGCAGCTGAGAAAAGTCAATAAGATGGGACTTGGTTTTGTTGCAAATAGGATGGGAATGGATTTCTGTAGCCAATTACGTATTCTTAGCGATTGGATGGGGGGGGGGGATTTCTTTGCCCCTCCGAAACGTGAACAGACAGAGAAAACACATCGAGAATACCCACAAACCAATCAAAACTCGAGGGGAACGCTCCAGGCTACCGTTGCCGAGAACCGCAGTGTGAACGCGTTCGGGGCACCGGCACAGCATCGGACAACGGGAGAGTTGGGCGATGGTGAGATCGAGCGCCGGATTTAACCTGCGAGGCAGGAAGGAAAAAAACGAGGGAGATGCATCGACCGCAGAGCCGGAAGAAGGTGTAGCCAGCCATCACAGACGGGGCTGGGCTGGGCCTGGCTGGATGCTTTTGAAATAAGCCGGTGCAGTGGCGCCGAATTGGTGACTCACCTGCTCATCGAGTGCTCACCCGATGGGGATGCATCGACGCCTGTGCGACCCAACCCTGGCCACCGTCACGCTGCTGCTTGTCTACAATGGATGGAAGTTACCGTCCTGGTGCCGAGGAAGATACCTGCAGGGAAGGGTGCTTCACAAATGCTGACGCCCACCATGACAATCAACACGAATAGTGCGTCTTTCTCCTGAAATTCCCCTGTCCACTGTTGTGGTTATTAGTGACTGAGTGCGAGCTCATGGTGAAGTGATCGATTCTTGTTCATACCAAATGGGATCGGGATTCAGGAGCGAGGTAATTTCACTTTTCGTGGACCCCCCCCCCTTTTGAGTGGACCCCCCCCTTTTGCAGTGGTGTCAATGATGAATGCTTTCGTTGTGTTAGAGCGATGGGCCCCTCCCGCCATGTTCCAGATTGCATCTTTGGTCTCGCTGTGACACGACACCGAAGTAGGCTCAAGGGGGATCTAGGTGTGGACGAACGGGTAGGAGTTGGTATCCAGTAGTCCAGGATTTATGGACGAGCATTGACGATATGCAACGAGAGTGGGGCTTTTGTGGACGAGAAGAACCGGGGTTCATCTGTTTTCGCGGCTGTGGGTCCTCTCACTCTGGTTTCTCTGTGGCTCCAGGGAGCCATGAGGGATGTTGATGGTGAGAGTTGGGCTCGACTGTGAGCTTTTGGGTGGAATTGGTGTTAGATTGCCCTGGGTAATTAGGGTTTGAGGGTGGAGTTGAGGTCGTATTGGATGGAATTGGGGTGTGGATGCGGGAATGTCTGAGGTGTGGGGTTGCACCTTGGGATGGACACATGGTGGGAGTCGCGCTGGGTTATGGACTTGGAGAGAAGGCAATATTAAAGGGGATGTGAAAAACTCGGTTTGGTGTTGTGAGCTGGTCGGGGATATGGCGGGTGCAGTGAAGAGAATGGTATTGGAAGTGGATGCTGCGTTGGGTTGTTTCAGGCTCTGGCCTCAATATGAGTTCAGAAGGTGCTGACTGTGTGAGTGGGGATGTAAGGTGAGGAAGACCGGGTTGCAGTGGTGAGTTCGCCTTAGATAGGAGAGGAGGTGCCTTCGACTGGATGTGCAGTCTGATTTATTAGGGTTTCGTGTATTTGGCCTAGTGGGCCCTGTGGCTTCGCAGCAGTGCTTGTACATGTCAGTTCACAGGTACGAAAAATCTGTCTCGTTGTGGACATCCGAAGTCATGCAGAACGGGAGTACCGTGCTCGATTACAGCTAATAATCGATAGGTAGAGTTTTGGAATAAATCTGTATGTGCACGGCCAGAGGTGGTGGGTGTGTGGTTACTTGTAATTAGCTCATCGTGACGCTGTAGAGCTCGTTTCTTGTTCTTGAGTTTGCTCCTCGTGTAGCAGTCCCGACTTTTCTTCAATTGGGAAGAGAGCAATATATCCTGTTAGGTCGCCCATTGTATCTGTAGATGCTACCGTTAGACTACACCGGTGATACTACTCATTCAAAGTTCGCTTGGCATTTCCTCAGAGCACGCTCCTATGTTAAAGTACGGAGGTGCGTGGACGTAATGAGGCATGCAGATGAACTTAATCCATTTGTCTCATAGTTCTGCATTCCTGTAATGGCCAATGCGTGGCGCTCAAATACATGGATTGGGCTGCACAACAGTACCAACACTCGGCTTCAGAGGGTTCGATCTTGGAGGATTTGACCTCAGATTGAAGCGTTTTCGAGAGCCCTTTTTTTTGGTTCTGTGAGCAACATCTAGTTGTGATTGAATTGAGGAAATATTGAATGTTACTTGGAAGAGCATCAGGTGTGTAAGGCTGCAGTGGTTGTTTCCATTCAGGGCGCGCTATCCGACAAACACGCCGCAGTCTGTATGAGACTTGGAGTTTGAATATTGGAAATGACTCGATGAAGAACTGGAGAAGTGATTAGGTTTATCGTTTGTCGTGCGGAATTTTTTGCAGTCTTTTTGGTCCGAAGAATACGGACGATTCCAGTGCGTGGTTAATTCTGGCATTTTCGTTCAAATCCATGATCGAGGTATTGTGTTCCGAGGCGCAGATGATTGTTGCCTGGTGCTGCAAGGTTATTGCGGATTTTCGGTCGTGCTTATGCCCCACGTTTATGAGTAAGGATTCAAGAAAAACTTTCGTTCTACGTTGATCATTTACTGCACGACAGTGCGAGCATTAGCCTCCTGCGTTAGAATGCGATGCGTTGGACAGGGACTCTGATTCTCAACGCTACTCTACCTTGGGCGTGGTGCCGCATGTACAGCAGTCCTATTATACTGGTGTTAGATTGGTCCTTGTCTCCGGATTTTTTGATTTTTAATTCTTACCTTTAGTGAGAACGAAGAAATGCATACTTCACTTGCTCTCTCCTCACTAGATTGAACTTGTTGCATAAATTGTCTACCTCACATTGTCTTATCCGTCCAAATTCAGGGGCGAGTACTCCGTAAGGAGCCTGAGCCGAAGTAAGGGAAAAATAAAAAAGGTCTCGAAGTAGTGTAACTTGTTAGTTTGAAGCAGCCTTTGAAAAATGCTTGTTAATCAATGACGATTTATCGTATCTGTTGCTAGTCACATGGGCCTCAAAACGAGTGATATTATACCACATGGACCATAGAGTATGGCTCTCGAAACTGGTATCACAAGTCGACCTAAAGTCGCAAGGCTTAACTACTATATTATATACGAGATTGAGTATGACTGGGATGCACAGTAAATTATTAGTCCAGGTTCAGTCAGGCTTAGGGCTCACAATCACGATATGTACAGAGTTTTACTGCATTCACTAATTCTGCATTTACAAATCTTTCAGGAGGTTGGCAGAGGATGTCGGTTGTTCTAGCGCGTCTTTCGAATTTCTTTGTTTTCCTCATCAGCAGCTTCTAGCTTCAGTGTGTAGCAAGAAATTTATTATGATTTTGGGATCAAGTTTTTTAGCTTCTCTTGCGAATCGGTGCTTCAAAGTCCAGCTGTATTTCTGGTTGAAAGGAAGGAAGATGCAACAGTGGAAGATGCACCTGAGAGTACTGTTGCTAATTTAGGAGTTGGCGGAGCTAATGCCCTTGAAGCTGTGATATTTATCAGTTTTGAGAGGCTTTTATGATTTTTGGAAGTCGGCGATCATTTATTAGTGAGTTCTTTGACTTTTACAATGTGGAATGTGAAGTTTATTTTTCTATTAAAATAAAACTGCTGCTGATTTAGTGAGATGGCGTCTCCGCAAGCATGACCCATTTCACGAGGGAGAATGTTTTGGATTTTTGTCTCTGACCTGTTCTATTCATGAAGGCATGTTGTATCGAAATGTCTTGCTGTGGGGGTAATTTTACGACACTACCAAGTCATTGTGAAACCTGATGTGGAATGGTCTAATTTCATCTGATTATAACACCTAATAACATGACCGGTGTGGCAGGAGTTGAGGGTTGAACTTTGATGTTGGGATCTATGTCAGCATCCAACAGTTTATGTTATGACCTCGTATTGCTAGCACTCATCCTTTTTTTTGCCTGAACGTGCAGGCAATTATCGAAGGCATGCTTAAAAACGCTGCTCCATGTCTAATACTCTATATTTGCGGCACTGCCGGGAAGTATAAATCTTTGAAAGCTATTGAAGCTCTTATTGAAGAACATTGGAAGGAAGACGTAGCAGATCTAATATTCTTTCTCAAGTTTTCAGAGCCTATCGACAAGATATGAATCAGCATGTACAGCTTGATTCTTTCAGTGCGTCTTTTGTGCTCTTTGCATATGAGGTGACGGAGCACCAATTAAATCGAAGAGCAATTTTACACATGGGAATTTCCGAGGTTTTTGAAGCTGAGATACATAGGCACAGTCTTTCATCAGCATTGGAATATACCACATCATTTTTCTTTAAGGATCCCAGTTTGTTAAAGGCACGGTGATCCACTTTTTTCTTGAATAAGCTTTACAACGCGTGCTGCAATACGAGGTCCAAGCACGGTCCCTCTAACATATCTCGGGGTATTTAAACACGTAGAGATGGATAAGGAGGCACAGTACATTTACAGCCCGCTTCGTAGTGAACGGCAGACTTCCAGGCGGAGACGATGCCTGCACTCCTTCAAGATTATATTGCAGCTTCCAAAGCTATTTGGTAACTACATCTTTTGGAGCTTTACATTTGATAATTCCTCAAGGGACAGTGGGGCTTACAAGAAATTATTCAAGCTAAATTTGTATGCAGCTATTTTTACTATCATTGGAGGCATTTGTCTATATGAGCTTACTATTGAACAGATGGTTCACGCAATGACCCGGTCGGCAATTTTTCCTCTTTACTTCCCCCATGCTATTGGGTTAGCTCTTGCCTGCAAGTACCAGGGTTCCGTTATGATCGGAAATTTCCTTGGGTACTACTTCTGTCGCATTTATCTGCTTTTACGCGGCCCCCTTGACCTGAATGTTAGCCGAGCTTTGATCCTTACAATGATAGCAGCACTTGGAGTGCTGGAGACTCATATTGGGGCATGGTTGATGCATCACTACTTGTGTCGTGGGGAGGCTGTTCGGAAGAGAGTGCCAACTATCGACAATGTAGCGCAAGCCTTTCTTTATATTCTTATCACCTTCGGTACCACCTTGGTTTTCGATTCGTTGATCGCCGTAGTTGCCTGCTTATCAGGAATTGTCAGCTGGGACAATTTCTCAAAGTTTTGGGCAACGTGGTGGTTAGGTGTAGTTGCAGGAATGCTGACTCTTTCCCCTGCAATTATACATCTGTTGGCTATCCCATTTCCTAGTTCTCTCATGAAGCCACCAAATTATTTTAATTTGGTTAAATCTATTTTGCTATGGGCTGTTCTGCTTGGCCTTCTTGTTCTGGTGTTCTTTTTCTCAATCCAGAGCTTCGTGAGACCGTTACCATATCTGGTATTCCCCCTCATTATGTTCGCCTCGTTTCGATTCAATCGTGTGGGATGGGCTATAGTGGTGGCAGTTATATCTCTCTCTTGTGCTTGGGGCACATTCCACCGACATAGCTCCCTTTATTATATGGCTGGGGTCCCACCCGATTTGTCCTCGTCTAGTCTTATTCTCCAGATCGAACTCTTCGTATCTGTTATGGGATTAGTCGGCATAGTTCTGGCTGCTGCGGTTAAAGAGAAGATACAGTTGACAAATGATCTCAACAAAGTGAACAGTGATCTGGAGGAGACAGTTGCTATGAGGACAAACGAGTTGGTGAAGGCCAATAACGAGCTTCTGATCTCGCAAAAGAGAGCAGAACATGCTAGTCACGCAAAATCAGATTTCCTAGCCAATATGAGTCATGAAATAAGGTAACTTCTACTCCAAGCTTCTATCTTATGAGCATTATCTTATCTTTACCGACCTAGTACCATCCCATTCTTGAACTGCTGTTCTCGGATGATTATCAGTATCCTATTGGAGGGTTTTGTAGTTATGGATGTAGCGGGTATAGCTGTCATGACATGGTTAGTGATGTGACTCGCACTACTCACAAACAGTTTGTTATAATTCTGAGCTCATTAGCTGCTCTTAAAACTGTTATTTGCCTTTCTGAACCCTCCCGCTTAAATAGCTGATTTTTTTGTAGCGCGTGGCATGGTTTCTTTACTTAGATTGTTGTCCTATCTTTCTTCTCAGCTCTGACTGCAGCTCCTTTACAGGACTCCTATACATGGAATACTTGGGTTGACTGCGCTGTTGCTAGAGTCTCAGCTGACTGCTGATCAGCGGGAGAGTTTGATGTCTGTGAAAGAGTGTGCTGACTTGCTTCTGCACATTATCAATAGTGTGCTTGATCTTTCTAAGATTGAGGCGGGGCGCTTGGATATTGAAACTGTCCCGTTTAGTATTCGAAAAATGGTTTCTAGCACACTTCGCATGATGCAAGCACGAGCGCAAGCCCATAATTTGCAGCTTCTATGGCACATTGAGGGTGCAGTGCCAGATAATTTGGTTGGGGATCCCGGAAAGCTTCAGCAGTGCCTTTTGAATCTTGGTATGCATTTTTTTGGCCACTTTGTGTTTCTCTTATTATTTATTTTGGATTAATTTGACCCCGTGTTGTTGATTACATGCACTTCGATTCTGATCGTGGTTCGCTTCTTCATGTTTCTGAACTGATTTAGCAGTACAAGCTGTACTAGGTCAGCTATGTTATTGCTGCATGTGACTAATATACTGTTGGTTTGCTTTTGTCCTGTCAAAGTTGGGAATGCATTGAAGTTTACCAATGAAGGATCAGTGACTGTTCGTGTGAGTTTATCTGTACGGAAAATTTGCCATAAATCAATAAATACTGTTGAACGTGATGATTCTCAAACAGTTGCACTCCCGAGTGCTAAGGTCTGTCTTGTTGAAGTCCCTCCGCTTTATTCACGCCCTACGAAGCCACCGTCTAGGTTGGCCAAATTACGGAGTTGGGCAAGCTGGCCGGGGCCTTATTTCAAGTCAGACTCAGGAAAATCTCAAAGTTGCACAATTGATGTGCATGAGTTACCTGATGGTGACGGTTATCATAATATGCAATCAACTGAAGTGGCTCCAGCTCCAGGCACAGAGATATTTTCACAACCTTCTACTCCAAAGACAGTGGATGTGGAATTTGAGGTCCAGGATACTGGCATTGGTATTAGTAAGGAAAAACTTCAAGATATGTTTAACCCCTTTACTCAAGCGGATGCATCTACCTCTCGCCTCTATGGAGGCACAGGACTTGGTTTATGTATAGTTAAAAGGTATATTTCAACATCTATATCTTGTTTGACTGTGCCGCTACTGTACCAATTTTGAAAATTGCAGGAAATGCTTAAATGGGAATACTTGTATTTATGACATTGCCAACAGTTAACCAAGGTTCATCCGTTGCGTAATGAGGGTTAACAAAGTTGAGATACTATTTTCTCAACTTAGGTATCTAATGTAGTTCTATATTGTAGGTTCGTGGAGCTGTTGGGGGGCACGATCTGGGCAGAAAGTGAAGAGAACAAGGGCAGTACTTTTGGTTTCAGAGTACCATTCCGTGTTTCTGCTGAGGAGAATCTCACCTACAAGACTGAAAACCGTCAAGGACCAAGGCCAATGAGATTCTCCTCTCTTGACGCTCCTGTTTCATACAAGCTTGTACCCAAGCTCGAGTTAAAGAGACGAGCTTATTCACTGGACGTTCTAATGAGGAATATGAAATTCATCATGCCGTCCGTGGTTGAAGAGGACGATTGCGAAGAGTCTGTTTCTACCAAGCGCTCAGGCGGTTCAGCGGCAGGGGATAACAAGGGAAGTTCACGGATTACTAAGAAGGCTAGAGCAATATTGCTGCCTGATGATAAGACTAAGGTTACAAAACCCTCGAATGAAAGTTCAACTTTGTCACCTGAGAATCATCCTACAAGGCCTGTGATCTTATTACCCAACGATCGAGAGACAACCGAAAGTAGTTTAGTGACTAATGATGTTGGAGATTCAAAGGTGAACATTTTAACTATCAACCGTGTATCTTCTGAACATAGAGGTCACGTTTCTCATGAAAGACTCCCACTCAGTGGACAAAAGGGTAATTCGCATGAATTTGAAAAGTCTTGTGTTCGGCCTAAAAGTAGTGAAGAGAACTGCCAGCCACCACCAAAACTAACATCCTCCATTGATGAGTGTTCTATTGACGGGTCAGCCGTTGATAAGATGTCTACTGTCATCAATGTGCATGATAGGACAGAAGAAGCCACAGGGGAGAAACGTACAAAGGTTGTCACTGCCGTAGTGACCGGAGTTGACAGATCAAAATTGGAGCAGCCTGATATTCATGTGCCAGTTGAGTTATCACAGGAGACAGATGTGAGGGCACCTACTAAGAGTAGATTACCGACATCAACATTAAGGTCCGATTCCACGAATGGATTCAGGAATCCCAATTTCGAGGATGTTGAGCGACCACTTCATATTTTGCTTGCTGAAGATAACCCTATAAATCAAAAGGTTGCGAGTAGGCAGCTCCAGCGTCATGGGCACATGGTGACGATTGTGAATGATGGCAAGCTGGCCCTGGAAGCTGTCCAAGCGAATCACGAGTTGTTTGATCTTGTGCTTATGGATGTTCAGGTGCAGTTTTTCAGTTCCAGTCTCATTGAAGGGGTTGTCGGAGTTGCTCGACTAAGCGTGCGATGCTTGTGAAATCATGATATATAGCTTATCAGAATTCGGTATTTTGTGTTAGAGCTACTATTTATCATCATGGTTACAACATTTACACTTTAACATGCAAAGCTTTAGGGCTTGCGGTGTTGTGTTCAGGAGAATCGTCTTTTTGTCTTTATTTTTCTTTCTAAGTTTCTCATGGTTGGTTTCTTTGTGCAATGCAGATGCCAACTATGGATGGTCTGCAAGCTACCGAGATGATACGAGACTTGGAAACTAAGAGAAACTGGAGAAGATTGCCAGTTCTTGGATTAACGGCACATGCAATCCAAGGTTACAAAGAGACGTGCCTTTCCCACGGTATGGATGGTTACTTGGGTAAGCCATTTGAGATCAAGCAGCTGCTTAGGCAAATGCGTGAGCTTTTGTCCACTCAAAGAAATCTTTAGAGAAGGTGGGTCATGATTCCACTGGGATGTTTATAACGATTTGTGCTGTTAACATTTTAGATTTCTTGTCAGCTTCGGTGCCACACCCTTATGATTTTGTGACGAATTCTTGCAATTTTTCCTTGGGAGTTGTAATATTTTAGGTGGTGAATGCGACAACTCAAGTGAAATCATCGCTGCATTTCATGATTCTGTGCATAGCGGTACTGCCAGTGGGTTTATGATTTTTTAGAGCCAGAATATGGTAGGAGCATTAATGTGGCAATGCATCAGGAGGCAGATGGCTCATTGTCAACTAAGGTTCTTGAAGCTCGAGATTAACTCGAATTGTACATATCAAAGGTTACTTTAAATCTCTTCAAGTAAGTCTGATGTGCCGGTTCTTTCTGTAGACTACTCTGTTGAGGTTGCTTTTAACGTTTCAATTCAATGTGGACTTCAGTAATTCTAAGTAATTTTAAGTAATGTTGACAATATTGAATCGATCATCCGTGAAGTCGGAGGAAAAGAAATCTGTCGCCTACTTTAGCGCTATGTGCGTCCATTTTGAGGTCCAAGAAATCAGATTTGAGGTCAATTTTTCCAAAAGTATGACTAAAGAGGTATGTAGACTTTGCAATGTTTGGTACGATTTTTTTACTCATAGATAAATGTGGGGTCAGTGTTCTTCCACTTCATATGATTTATCCAGCAGCAGCCCTAGATTGTATGGAACGTTATGTTTAATGATCCCAAATGTGCTACTTCTGAGTTCAAATAAATTACTTATTAAATGCGCTTTCCTCTCATATTGTTAGCTAATGGATTTGTCTAATTTTTGAACCACTTCGGACTAGATTTCTTCACATCAGCTTTAAAATTTTGAAGTAAAATTCCAAAAGAGTGTGTCTTTGGAGCTCATTACAGAGCATATTCAGATTTCGCTCTGCAGAATACAGACCTTCGATCCCTGGGTTCAGTTCAAAGCGAGGTTCATCTTTAGGTGAACTCTATGCTAGACAACAGTATCATTTGGTTTGATTGTGAGGAGAATGAACTTCCCCAGTACAAAAACTGAGCTCAACCAGAAGTCCACTTCTAGGTTGACACTTCACATTCCTTGTCGATAATAACCGTCCTGTACACACCTCACTAGAACCAACACGCCCTCAGAATCTAACAAAATGTGCCACTGTCGGAGACACAGTTGTTTGATTTGAAAAAACATAATTGGATCCAGAAATAGCATTCTCCTCTACCACATGAATGCATCTCAATTTTTCTTGCGCGAATACAATTTTAAATACTGTCATACATCACTTATTTTTGCCGGCCTGATTTGTGACAAAATATGGGCAGAGTCAAAATGTTATTGAGCCGAGCATGTTTGCGGAGGCCTGCCAGAGATCAATTGGCAACTTGTAATTGAATAGCATGCATGCTGGGTGTGCCGTTTAGCTCATCACTCTCTGATGAAATATTCTGGAAGATACTCTCCATCAACCAAGTAAACAGTGTACCTAGAAGAATATGGGATGGCCATGATGCTTCCAAACAATATCACGGGGCCAAAAATTGACCCTTGAAGATTTTTCACAATTTTATAAAAATGCTGCTATTTGACCAGTGGTGTTGTAGCATTGTTTGAAAATTTCAATTGCTTGTACTAATCATTTAAAAAATAAAAATAAAAACCTATAAATTATTATTTTAATCCTATGCTTTTTTTAAAAATCATATATATATATATATGAATTGTCATTAACTTAATCGTTATTACTTTTAACTCCCTTGTGGAAATTAAAACTAACTTAAAATCAAGTTCATCAAGTGAAAATGTATCTTTGGTGTGATATTAGCACAAAAATCAGATGAAAAAAATATAAAGTGTAAAAATCCCTCCTCACAATCAAAAAATACAAATTATTACAAAGATGATTAAGGAGTTTTGTTAAGTTCATATACACACAAACAATACAAAAGATACAAATTAGGTTTATTATATTTATACATATTTAATAAATGATTATGTCACTTGAAAACCTTTGTTAACATTAAAATATGCTTGTGCAATTATATGATTCCTTTTTTTATATGTGATTTTGATATTTATCTCACAAATTAAGCTTATGAAGTAAACCCCACTAAAAAAAATCATTGTGGGAGTTTTAGAAAGATGATTAGATTAGGTTGTAATAATTAAATATCACAAGGAGTTGTTTTTTTAGAAAGTTACTTCAAGGTTTCAAAAATGTGCCTTTTATACATGCACATAACTCCCAAATTATATATATATATATATATATATATATATGCAAGCTATTTCTTTTTAGAAATAAAGTAACAAATGTACATTGTACTACTTATATTACTAATTGTTTGCACAAGATAGCATTTGTATCAAGTAATATGTGCTTGGTCTTCTTTATCTTTAGAAATTACAATCAAAACTTCATATTAAGATTTTTTGAAAGAAACATTTTAAATGATATCTTTAATATTTTAAATTACATATATAGATATTTTATAAATTTTTATTTTTTTCTTAACACTATAATAAATATATATATTTGAAAAATCTTATATCTTGATTTTAATTTTAATTTACTTTTGAAATAAATTCTATTGTCAAATAACTATTTTTAATATGATTGATATTAAAGCCATCTCAATAAACAACATGCAAGCTATTAAAGTAGATTCAAAGTATTAATAAATTTACTACTCCAAAAAATCTAATATATTTTTATAATATTTGTTGTTAATTGAGTTGGAAGATATTAAATAAAATGAGATGAAATTTTCGTAAATTTTAATGCAAGTAGAATCTCTTTTAAATTTATAAAGACAAAAAATCAAATAAAGATGAATAAATGATATTGCAAATGCCACCATAGATATTGCTATTGTCACCACAATCAACCATTCATTTGTCATCTATATATGTATATATATTTTACTTTTTTTTTTATTCCAGTCTTATTAATTTATTTTTATTTTTTTGTTTTGTTTATTCAAATGATTTGAAAGATATTGAATAAATATAGAATGTGATGGATGGAGGTTATGGTGGCAATAGTAGAATTTGTGGTGTCATTAGCAATACCATAGATAAATATTGAAATTAAAAAATATATATTTCATAATGTTCAAAAACATTCTTTGAAAAATTGATGCATTTTTAACCAATAACAATAATTGGTACAAATGCAAGATCTATTTTTTATATTGAAATTAAATATTTTCTATCAAATATTATAAAAATTAATTTACCAATAATTTTAATAGTTTTAACTATATAGAATTATGATAGGATTTGAGGTTGGCTGAAATTATTATCATTTAATGTGCTTATCTATTTCGACATTGTGTATTTAAAACCCTATTATTGTACTCTCAAAATTAGCTAAAAAATAATAAATAAAAATATTTATTTTAATAATTTTATTTATAAAATTAAGCTTCTAAATATTTAACTTGTAAAAGCTTTATTTAACTTTATTTTGGCACTCTTTTAATTATAAATAAAACATTTGTATAGTACATAATTCATTAAGAGTTATTGAAGTTGCATATACTTGCATTAAACATACTTTTTTAATATTCTTTTTGTCTGTTGCTCAATAATATTTCAAACATTAACAAATTTTCTGCACAAATTTATTGGTCTTTAAACTTGAAACCAACTGTCTCACCATACAATAGTACATAAACCTAATCTAAAAAATTCCAGTGGGCAAGAAACGGAATTTAATAATGAATGCTCATGCACTAATATAACGCGAGTAATTTAAAGGAAAAAGAAAAAGAAAAGAGAAGTGATCCACATAAAATAGTAAAAATTATTCTAGAATGAAAGCCAGTTGGCAAGAGTCTTTCAAGAGGGTCAAGCCTTCTTGTCACTTGGACGACAGAAATCATCCATCCATCAACACCGACGTATTTCATGCACGGAAAAGTCATTCGTCGTTCCCAATACGGCGGGCGCTCCACGAGGGGTCGCTCCCAATGCGGAACTGGGCACGCTGTTCTTAGACGAAGGGAACGGATGAACAAAGATCGGGGATGAATGAATGAATTCGAGGGATCTCCTTGTCAGGGGAGACTTCCTTGTCCTGACTGGCTGGCCTGATTTGCCAGCCTTTTCTTTCTGAGCTCGGAGTTTTCCTGCCTCGTTCCGGCCTTTGCCTTCTCTGCTGCGTCTTTGTTTCCTTCCGCTCCCTACTGTTCCGATTCCTGTGATCGCTGCCTTCTGGCCATTACTGGAGCAGCCGACCCGCAGGAGCTTTGTTAGCGTTGTTCCCGAAGGTGCATTACAAGTAATGCTCTTTCTTTTGAGTTTTTGATTTGGTAGATTGGAGTTCTGATTTGGAGTTTTATTTTGGTTTGGCGATGTGAGGCTTTGGGACGTAGCAGAGGGGGAGAGATGTGAGGAGGGAGGGAGGGAGAGGGTGAAGGGCCTTAGTGCTGGCTAAGGATTGATGATGCGTTGATGAAGTTTGGAGGGATGCTGAGTGGTCTGATCCGCGGGCTGTAGTGGATATATGTTGAGCTGTGAGTTGTGTTGGAGCTTAGATTAGGGTGTGATCCCAGCTGAAGAGCTTCTGACTGTGCGAGGACGGTGTGTAGAAATATGTATGTGTTTGTTTTGTTAAGTGAGAGGTTGTGTTTGTTTGAGTGCAGAGGCGGATTTCGGAGCTAGCAGAGCTTTGTCGGAACCTGTAACAGAGGAGAGGACGTGGAGTTCGTGTTAGGCTGGATTTGTTGCTCGGGAGTGGCGGACTGCAACTAACATCATGGCGACAAGAGCCCGGGCTGATAATTACGACTATCTCATCAAGCTGTTGCTGATCGGTGACAGTGGTACGTATCATGTATATCCGCTACTTGCTTGAAATCGAATTCTCCTCAAGAATGTGGTCTCTTCGACGATTTTTTAATTTTTCTTTCCAGGTTTCCGCCAAAATGTGCTCGATTGTGTCGGTCGAGTTTTTTGTGCTTACTTTCTTTGAATAACTTAAAAGGGGGGTTGTTAAGGGCGTTGTAATCAGAAGAAATTCATTCACGCCCGTTTCGAGGTAGTGCAGCTGCCCTTGTGATCGTATTGCACATATTGCACAAACAGTCAATCCAGTTTCTCAGCTCTGGGGCTATCTTTAGTGATAGATCTGGTCGCTATTGCTACAAGGTGTTAATCGTCTTGGACAATCAAGAACGTTAGAGATATCTTACGTAAAGTCCGTCCTTCAGATATCATAATCAACTCTTTTATTAAGGATAAGCCACTTGACATGAGTTGTGAGCAAGAATGCCGACGACAAGAGTTTTTTGAAAATCGAGTGCTGTGACTAGTACCTTGGTTTTGATTTAGGGCATGAGTAATGAACATTTTTGTATCACTTTATAAGGTTCGATGGATTGCTCAGTTTCTTGATATCATTTATTGTAAATATTTTTCATGTCAAGTCAATGACTCCCTGCTTCGTATTGGCGTCGTACACGAATTGAAAATTGTGTTTGATGCTCGCAGGGGTTGGAAAGTCTTGCCTCCTCCTCCGATTTTCAGATGATTCTTTCACCACAAGTTTCATCACCACGATTGGGTAAGCTTTCTTGGACACATATTTTAGAGCATTTGATGAGGTTGTAGGAAAGGGTTTATTTGAAATGGCTTCTTTTCTGGGATCTGGCAGTATTGACTTCAAAATCCGGACCATCGAACTGGATAACAAGCGCATCAAACTTCAGATATGGGACACTGCTGGACAAGAACGATTCCGTACAATCACAACAGGTAATTATTGTTCACGCAATCGCTGGCGTTTACCCTGAGTCGTTCATTGTTACCGATATTCATGAATGCGACGCTCTGCTGTTTTTAATGCTTGCCGGCGCGATTGGCTATTGCTGAGGATGATTGACCGATATTATTTATTTATTTATTTATTTATGTGCACATGGAAGTGTTTATTCCAGCCATTATGGTTGTTTGATATGCAGCATATTACAGAGGAGCAATGGGGATTTTGCTGGTCTACGATGTGACAGACGAATCTTCCTTCAACAGTATCCAATCAGTAGCTAGTTTGTTTTCTTTATGTAGTTGGTTAGTGGTGGAGAACAAATATCTGTTAGTGTCTGGGTGTCCTTATGTTCATGTAGCCTCTGTAAGAAATGAAGGAACGTGATGTTGCCATGACTGAGCTGGTGTCAGATATTCGGAACTGGATCAGGAACATAGAACAACATGCATCTGACAACGTTAATAAGATCCTGGTGGGAAACAAGGCTGATATGGACCCGAGCAAAAGAGTACACATCTGTCACCTAGTTTTGCTTTCTTTTTTCTGCGCATTTAGTGAGTTGTTAACTCGATGTCATTAGATCGACAGGGTACATTTCGGGATTCAAATTGTTACCTCTTGATTTCACTTGATCCATTCTGATCAAGTTGGGTTCATTTGATCACCACTTGACAGTATTAAATGCTTAGGTTACTCCAACGTGTGCCATGACATACTAGCCTGCTTCCTGTATTTATTTTGAGAAAGGTCACATTTTTCCGGATCGCATAATGTGTAGAGACGGTTTTCTCACTGGTTGCTAAACTTGAAGAGCGTTGGGCTGGGTTTTCACATAGGGAAGCTCTGTGTTATATTAAGAAGTTCTGTGCTTTTTTGTTTTTTAGGAGAACAACTGAGTCGAACTGTTGAGCTAAATTTGTGATAAAATCATGAATTTATTCATCCGTAATGAGTGATTAACCATCATCACTTCAGAATTAATCTATGGATCTTTTCTTTCGTGGGATTTTCCGAAGTCGATTATGTTCTGTTCGAGTATAATGCTCTTTCTAAATTTCATGGGAATCTTGTACAGATTTCTAAATCTGGTAAGGTGCAGTTTTTGCTACTGTCATTTGTGTCGTTAAAAGATAATTTTGTAACTTGTGCAGGCTGTCCCTTTTGCCAAAGGTCAGGCTCTAGCTGATGAGTACGGCATCAAGTTTTTTGAAACTGTAAGTTTTGCATCAGTGGATCTAGATCCTAAACTTCTGTATTGGCTGTAGTACATAAGCTGTGTCCATATGATGTAATGATGATTTCAATTACTGCAGTAGGCTGCTACTTTCACATATTCCATTTTTTGATATTTGTTTGTACATTCCAGAGTGCCAAAACAAACATGAACGTAGAGGACGTTTTCTTCACGATTGCCAGGGACATCAAAACAAGGCTAGCTGAGAGCGATTCCAAGCCAGAGGTGAATATTCCTTGGAATATTCCATTAATTTTTAGCACACTCGTCTATACTTGTTTTTATTCCTTTGGGCTATTTGTATATGTAAGAGTTATTTAACATGATAGTACTGTTATCTTCTCACTCCGCAGGCCAAGAATGCTGGAGGCAAGCCAGACGTCACGCTTAAGTCAGGGGGCGCACAACCAAAGCCAGCATCTGGCTCTTGCTGCTCATAGGTGAGCGGCCCATGTTGGGACATTGTTCTGAGCTCTTAGATCCTTTTCGAGATAAGAACCCATTTTTAATGCCTTGGGCTGGCGCCATGAAACTGCAGCTGGTATGCTTTGGAATTGATTCTTGGGTCAGGATTATAAGCTGGATGTCCCGGCGCTGCAACTGAAGATTGTTGGGACCATTTAGGAGGCCACATGGTACTGAAGCATTATGCTAGCTTCCCTTCACCAATTTTTTGAAGCAACATTGCACAAGGTTTTAGCTTTCTCAAAGCTCTTGCAGAATGCGACGCTCTCGCCTGAGATGGTTCTCTGCGAAGGAATGTATGCTAACTCTCTCCAATTGACTATTTTAGGTATATTTGAATAGAACTCACTTTCTTAGTCTCATTAAAGAACGACATGCTTATGCCACGTTCTTCTAAAGTACTTGGACTGTGTAACATCACCTGGTATTGGGATTTTGGAGTAGGGAGGTAACAAGCAATGTCAGCAAAGTCCATGAAACTTCCAGGATTGTAATTATTGATGGTTTTTTAAATCTAACTCTTCAATTCCTAGATATTCTCATTTAATGTTGTTATTTATTTATTTATTTTGATTAATTGTCGAGTATTTTCGTCGTTGGTCTCAAAGACCGCTGCTTTTTATTTTCAGCTTCGCTAAGATGCTGAGGTACAGCAAGGTGGTGTGGAGTAGATGCTTGGGAATTTATTAAGTCTACTATTTTAAAATGTAGCACTTAGACAAGACTAGCTCACACGTTGCTATATAGTATGTTGCTGTCTCACTAGTTTTCAAGTTTTAGCTTTTTGTGATATTGATGTAAGTGCATTTAGTGTTGAAACCGTGAATAAGTAGGTTGAAAGCTTAAAATGAGATCATATTTGAATATATCAATCCACCCAAGCACAACTGTAGGGTTTGGATGGAATTTGGAAATTTCATGTTGTCATTCTTTAGTTTGCTTCAATTCAGGCGCACTTCTTAATCTTCTCTTGCAAGAACAGAGACAACTTACATGATAATATGATACGTGCACGTGTGCATGTAAGTACCTAGTATTTGGGAAATAAAGTATTGGACAATACATATAAGAAATTTTGAATAGTCAAATAATTGTAATAAGGTTATTTATTTATTTTTGGTGGTGGATAAGCAATAATTATTAGAATTGTGGTTTTCAAAATCATTGAATTTAATATCTTAATTAAAATGTGTGCCGATGTATTAGAAGACTATAAGTTGACAAATTTCTAACAAAACATTATATTTTATTGGTATTTAAAATAAATCATTATAGACACTCAAGATAATTGAGATGGTTTCAATAGATATAAAACATTGTTTTATATAGATTGTCTAACTTTGTTAGAATCTAATAATAATATAACAATACATGGTTGTAGATCTTGTTACAATTATGAGCAAATATGATTTGCAATGATTCTAAACTATTGGAGGATGGTAGATTCAATCTAAGTATTCTAATATTGCTCAAATGAGGTTGGCAGTTTGAATCCTAGCTATAGAATCTCAACCATTCTTGATAGAAACTTGCTTAGAGTTTATCCTTGCAAAATAAATAAATAATTGATAAGAAAAAAAAATTGGAATAGATTTAAATCATAATTTAAGTATTTATAGAATTATACAAATCAATTTTTTGATCTAAAAATTATTTATAAATAATGGTTTTAAAGTCTTTAAGACCATTATTTATGCTTCTAAATTCTAAAAGTTTTTTTATTTTTTATTTTTTTATGTCAATCCTAGTTAGGTCCGAGTTTATGGTTGTAGAAGGTTTTTAGAGGCTTACTTCACCTCTAAGCATTAAGGAAACTTTTCACAAAGATTCTTTGTACTTAGTATATATATCAAAGTCAAAGTTGATAGGATCTTCACTCTTCATAACATAGTTGATATGGCTTATTTTAAGCCTTTTGGTCTTGTTCTTGTGCCTTGTTGTAATTTCTTATTTGTAATATAAAATAAATCTCTTTTGTCTCATTTCTTTGAACTCTTGGAATCTTGTCCTACTTAAGTCGTGTATCTATAATAATTTGTTAAGACTAATATAATACAATATTAGCGCTTGGTCTTTTTAGATAAAGAACATATTATCTTTCTTCTTAACAATACATTGTTTTAGAGGTTAGAGATTATCCTATTCTAAACCAACATTATTCTTGATTTCTTGTATTTGTTTGTTTGTTTGTTTGTTTGTTTGTTTTGTTTTGTTTTGTTTTTTGTTTTGTTTTGTTTTTTTGTTTTTTTTTTGTTTTTTGTTTTTTGTTTTTTTGTTTTTTGTTTTTTTTTTTCATTTCTATAGTAGAAAGTGAAGAGTTGAATATAAAAAATTCTAAAGAAACCAAATTCTAAATTTGATTATAAGTGCTCATGAAACATCAAGAATTAAGATAGAGTCTTTGCCTAAGAAAAATGAAGAACTTAATATTATTTTACATTATATCTAAAGAATAGAACTTCTTCAGCTACTACTATAAGTCAACTTAGGAATTCTATCATTAAGATCTACTTTACCAAAAGATGTATGTATTTGACACAAAAATTTAATATCAACAACAAAAGAATCAAGAATTACTTTCACAAGAAATTCAATGAAACTTATTTAAAGTTTTATGGTTTTAATAATCAAGTTCAAATTATTACTTTGCTTTATCTTTAGCAATATTCTATAGAAGTACCTTGTATTGGTATAGTTGGAACTTTGCTCTCAAGTCAAGCTTTGTCTTGGTTTGCTCTATTCTTTGAAAAAATTTCTCCCATATTGTATAACTTTGAGATATTTTTGACAATATATGAAAAAACATATGGTAAATATGATAGGATTTGTTTTGCAACAATTAAGACTTTAAGCCTTTAACAAGGAACACATTTTATACTTTTTTATGCTTTAAATTTATAATAATTAATGTGTAATATGAATTAGAGAGAAAATGTATTAATAAGCAAATTTTACTAAAGATTACAAGACAATGTGAAGGATTTATTGATATCTATTTCTTATCCTCAATTACTTAATAAAACCATTAATCAAGAATTTTTAGTGCAATAACAAGTTTTTTCAATGTCAATAAGATAAATATCCATTGTCTATTCGACAACTTTATTTGGCATCTTTTACATCTATTGATTCTAATAATCATTTGGGAGTAAAGATTGTACTTTTACTATCACAAGTTTTGTAATTGTGACCATGAACTACAAGTAGAAGCTAATAGTTTTGGTTTACTTGTTGATTTGTGATCTTCAATCTTAAATGGGTGTCATTTGCTTGATACATTTGTATTCTTTTGCTTTAGTATTATTAGAAAAAAAGATCCAATAATGATTTTTGATTTTTTTCTTTATTATCTTTTCCTAGTTGTGAATATTGTTACCAAAGGTTTTCTAATATTGCCCCATTTTGTGTTGTACTAATCTATATTGATAGGCATATTGTAAGAATGAGGTAGAGTTGATAGTTTACAAGATCCTTTTGTTTGTTGGATTATTGGCCTTATAGTAATCCAAAGGTGATTATTGGTGAATCACAAAGATTGATGGTAGTTGCAGGCTCATGTTGTTATTAAGTCTTTAGATAGTTGCAACTACTCAAGTAGTCCATTAAATGGTGCATACCAGGAGTCAATATTACTGATTTTTTTTATTACACTACTTAAATAATAATCACATTAAAGACTTGAACTAATAATGGATAATAACAAGATTTTTTTTAGCTATTTCAATGCTAGAAAATTCTTGGAAACTTTGGATCTTGAGTATGAACACATTTTACAAAATGAAGGATGATCCTTACAACATAGTGAGAAATTGATTCTTGGAATAATCTGAAGGCATTTCCTTGTCAAATTAGAAGCTCAAATTTTAAATATAGATAAATAAATGTCTTAATTTCAATAAGTGATATGCCTTTGAGCTACTACTATAACATTTGGAGTATAAGACACTCCAAATTTATAAAAGATAGAGTGAGAAGTAGTCTTTTGAAATTTGAATAGTAAAGTATTATTAGATGGCAATAATAGATGTTATTTCAATTCTTAAAGAAAGTACTATTTCTTGCTTAATGCCTATAGTGAAGGAAAAAAATCTACTAAAAGTAAAAGTTGAAACATCTTTAGAAGAAATTAAAGAAAAAAAATAACAATGGTCTTAGACAATATTCCATCTACTTTATTATAAATGGCTCAAGCTATAAAGACATCTTTGTGTAGAATAGAAGAGCCACTATCATTTGAGAGTCTATAATTTGAACCACTCCAAATATTTATTAAACTCTTAAAGAAGGATTATGGGAGTTTTAGGTGTAATCAAATGTAATGCATTTTAGGCTTTTGGTTTGGGAAAAAAAAAAAAAAAAAAAAAAAACATTCCACATATAATGTATACTTGTTTGACTTAATTTGCAATAGAATAAAGAAGTGTATTTGCTAAGAGCTAAGTTTTAAAGATTTTTTTTTTTTTTTTTTTTTTTTTTTTTCTAAGGTTAATAAAAAAAACTTTTAGACTTAGTTATATTAATAATTATCTTTAATTATGATGGCAAGGCAATGCTAGCATAAATATTTGCTAAAGTTGAGAAGTGTGATAAGACTTTTTGTCAATATAATAGTAATAACATTATTACTTGAATGATGGATGTTTTTAGGCCGAAGAAGGTTCCAACTACGACAAATAGTTTAATAAAAATTTAATTTAAAAGGACCATGCATTGTTGGAAATAAGGTAAATTTGGTTATACCAAAAATAATCTTAACCGCCTTAAGAAGAAAAAAATCCAACATATAGAGAAGCTTAAATAGAAAAAAAAAATTACTCAAGTAAGAAAATAAAATCTAAAAAGTATTGAAAATCAAGCCAACATAATAACAAACATTTAAAAAAATTGCATTAGTTGTCAAATATAGTTGAACATTCACACCATTGCTTTACTAAAAATTAAGCTATGTTTAAATTACATTGTTCACAACCAACCTTCAAAATACAACCTCCAAGACTAATTATTGAACTTGATTAAAATCTCCTAAGAAACTTCTTAATTTGCATAATATGATAGCTTTGCCGCCTTCAAATAGAATAAAAAATATATACATAACAAAAAAATCAATTTAATTATATTTATTATAATAAATTTAATCACACTAAAGATAATTGCTTTATTTTATATCTATGAAAGTTGCTTGTTTTTTTATAAGAAAAGAGTCTTAAAAGCCAAAATTACTAAATTAAAAAAATAAAAATAAAAATATCACCTCATTAGTCTAAGTCACTGGATTTCATGTGAATTTTAGAATTAGAGCAAGTTCTTCTATTATAGATAATTATATGTTTGGTGTATCAAGCCAAATAATAGTTGCAGCTAGTATTCATGCCCAAAAAATGGCAATAAAATATGGCACTTACTACAAGTAAGGTATCAAAAACTTTGCATGGTTGTCAAAGCAATTATAGACATTTAAATATTCATGTTTGATTGCTAAAATCTTTAAGCCTTACAAATATAAGTTCTATAGTAAGGCAATCTATTTCAACTTCAATATAAAATAGA